CTCCTCCGCCTCCCCGCAGATGTCCGACAACACAGCTAGCAAGGAGAGAGCTGCTTTGAAAGAAAAAAATCTCATTGTAGACCTTTTTTTTTAATTCAGTGCAGTCATGTGATTGTTCACCATTTAGGAGATATTCCGATGTGTAAATGTTTTTGTTTATTACAAATCTTACAAATAGCATAATAAACATATATCACATATACTGTATATGTAAAATATAAAAAGATTTGGAAATAGAGAGTGGAGAAAACGGAGAGAAATACAGCTAGGAGTAAAGGAGGAAGAGTGGAGAAGAAAGGAAAAAAAAAAAAAAAAGATCACTAGATGCCAAGTAAAGGGTGGTTACTCCTTCTCCACCTCAAAGAGAGACTTCCCCTCGGCTGAGTTGATAAACAAGTTCCATAGTGTCCAAGTTTTAGAATATACTTCATGTTTATGTCGATGTGTAAGCACCAGGTCTTCCTGTCAAGGTCCTACCTTTTCCCTGAGGTTATGTTACTCCATGTGCTGGCGTCCATCTTGGATTCTGCTGTGCATGATGGGAATCCTTTTATGCCTTCAGGTCTCTGTGGTCCATCCCCCAGAGGGGTGTGGCTGATGACATATAAGCCTGTGGCCCGCACATGCTCTTTGCACTTGTGTCTTTGTGTTGCTATTACTCTGTTCTGACTCTCCTGGTATCTGATTTGGCTTGTGACTTGACTATTCTTTGTATTCTCCCTTGATCTGACCCTCTGTTGCTGAACCCGGCTCGTGACCTGTGATTCTCGTCTGCTGTCCTGTACTGTTTTGTCCTGTTGTTGTTGACCCGGCTTGTCTGACTACTCTTTTGTCTCTTCCACCAGCTACACGCCATTGGCGGCGGCCATTACCGCAGCTGAGGTGTCTCGGGGGCCGCGACCTGGTTCCTGGCTGCGTCAAGTCCATCCCCACCATCAGGGACCTGGTGAAGGGCAGCCTGGGACTTAGACTCCGCGCCCTGAGGGACTTCGGTCTGTGGGTAGTGGTTGTCGTCAGCCAGTGCGTTACATTGTTAGGCCTGCCTGTCCGTTCCTCGGCCCCTGCCCTGACACTTCCATATGGTTCATTTCCTTGACTTTACGTAGCCAAAGCCCGATCGATGAAGGTTTTACCTCTCTCCAACATGGGGAGATGCAAGATTTAGCTGCGTTCAATAGGTAAGCGTACAACTGACTACTTGTAAGTCCTGGATGGCATATTGGTGACATGTGAAAGAAAAAATGCTGGGTCTACAGGCACGGGGTAATCCGTGAATTTTTGGATGATACGGTGAACCTCTCCCCAGTAGTGCGCAAACCGAGGGCAAGTTTTTCTGTTGTATTTTCGTGCACAAACACAATTCAGTGAAAAAAGTATGTTGGATTTTTGGGCTTCTGTGAAGGTTCTTCTCAGATCCAGTTTCCACTTCGATAGGTAAGTTGGGGAGAAGCCTTACAAACATGTTTTTACCGTGCCAGGTGCTGTCACCCTGAATCTGACTTTCCACTTAGCAAGTCACTAATCCTGGAATAAGCATGCATCCAGTGATGGCAGCAGTGGCATCCTGAGGCAGGCGGCGGGGGGTGCGGCCCGCACCGGGTGACACCGACCGCCTGGGGTGACACCGGACCTGCTCCACGAAAAGGTAAGTTGTAAAGCAAGCCGACGATCTCCTGTTCAATCCGCAGATCTGATCCATTCTGCAGGGGTCGTCGGAGGGGGTGTCACCAAGTGTTAGCGCACCGGGTGACACCAACCCTAGGGACGCCTCTGGATGGCAGTGAAGTCTGAACTCCAGTCTTACTCGCTCAGTGACAAGATATTGAAGGCAGGATAAAGAACACAACCCTGTGGCCTTCTCCATTGAAAATTGAATTTGTTCTAGTTCCTTTGGGCTAGATTGACTGGACTTTCTAACATAGCTGGCACAGGATTTAGCAGATTGCCAATTGACTTTAATATCATATTGCTGACAATTGTTGCTGTAAGAGAGGCTGGTACATTTAGATGTTTAACTCATTTAATGTAGTTATATTCATTATCCCCCTGCGCCATACAAGTCCCCAGGCACACAGAGACCTTTTCCTGCATCTGATACCTTTTTAATACTGTTAATGACACCGGCCACAATCTCTTCATCTGCTGTCCCCAGGGGACTGACGTCCTCACAGAGAGCAGGATATGAGGTGGGCCAAGGAAAACATGGTAGATACAATATCAGTTAACCCTCTGCCCACTACTACAGATTCAGACATGTTCATCTGTGGCTAAAAAAAAATATAAATCCTAAATGTACAAAATATAACTGGATATTAACATTTATAGGTAGTAACACCAGAGAATATCCGATTGCCTCCTGGGGAAAGGAATAATTTATTTTCCCCTGGCTGGAGTACATTGGACCATGCTTTATAGGATTTTTTCCCCCTTCCTATGAATGAACTGTGGGCATAGGATTCTGTATATGGAGGTTTTTTTTACATCTGACTAACTATGTAACATATGAAGTGCCATAAGGTGTGTAATATATGATGTTGCTTTTATTCTATGGCACACCACTGCACCTACAGACCCCCACCAGTTGTCTATGGGAATAGAGTCTACCTAGGTGGTTGCTATTTCTAATAATTATGGCATTATTTTGACTACTTGGTATTAGGAACGGCCTGATGGATGGGAACAAAAATGAAAAAAGTTTGGTAAGAGTCACTACATAACACTGAATATGGTTGCTTCTCCTCTGGACCAGGTCTTGAGCAACCTAATTCACATACCAAAATTAAACAGAAGAGGGCGCCACCATGAGATATAGCAGTACAGGGATGCCAAGTACACCATGTGGTTCTCAGTGCCTGATTGGCTCATTGCTATGGCCATGTGACAGAGGAGGAAATCCTTAAATTAAACAAGAGGAGGCCACCATGAGATATAGCAGTACAGGCATGCCCAGTCCACCATGTGGTTCTCAGTGCCTGATTGGCCCATTGATATGGCCATGTGACAGAGGAGGAAATGCTTAAATTAAACAAGAGGGTGCCACCATGAGATATAGCAGTACAGGCATGCCCAGTCCACCATGTGGTTCTCAGTGCCTGATTGGCCCATTGATATGGCCATGTGACAGAGGAGGAAATGCTTAAATTAAACAAGAGGGTGCCACCATGAGATATAGCAGTACAGGCATGCCCAGTCCACCATGTGGTTCTCAGTGCCTGATTGGCCCATTGCTATGGTCATGTGACAGAGGAGGAAATGCTTAAATTAAACAGAAGAGGGTGCCACCATCTAAGTGTAGACAATTAATTAAAAGTAGGTATTAAAAATAAGATTGCACTTACTGCATTAATGAGAAGGCCAGTTTATCATAAATTCGCTAGAGTCGGTCAGTGGAGTGATCCCAGAAGCCATAGAGCTAGCCGACGTGATCCTGGAAGCCCCCAAGCCACTATCTCTAAGGGAGGTTGTGTTCCAACTTGACAGTAATCATCCTGCCCACACCAGAAGCTTTGAGTGCAAATCTGCATTTACCAGCCACCTCCCTACCAATCTCTGTAGCCCATAGCCACTCCACAGAGGGATTTTGGATTTGAAAAAAGCTGACCTTCTTATGAATGCATTAATACCTACTTTTAATAAATTGTCTACACTTAGATCTCTTCTGTTTAGTTTAGGCATTTCCTCCTCTGTCGTACGACCATAGCAATGGGCCAATCAGGCATTGGTGGAGTGAGCATGCCTGTACTGCTTTATCTTGGAAGTCGATGAATACATTCAAAGGGCACAGTGATAAGTGGCTATATTGGGTCTATAAACATGAAACCTATTAAAGCTGTAGAAATTATTCTCAGCCAGTATATTGATTTGTAACCTGTCTGTGAGAGTTCACATCAAAGCTACAGAAAGGATTTCTTGCTTGGAGGATTGTCAACAATAGCTATCTCCGTTGCAGGCTTTGCCAAGGTTGCATAGACCTGATAATAGTAAGAGGGAGTTGGGATTCCAGTTGCCAGCAGAAGGGAGGAAGAGTCACAAAAGAAAGAACATGTACCCCCCCCCCCCATGTTGCTTGTGGTTCTTGGTGGAGGTGGGGGGGGGGAATGTTTCTCTTAAAATTTCAGAATAACCTAGGAAATATATTTTGGAGTTTTGCTTCCTTTTTGGTTTTTAATGTTATAGGGTTGCTTATAGGCTCCACTGGAAATTAAAGTACAGATCCTGCAAAACTTTCAAGATTGTTTTGGATAGCGCAAGGGAATAGTTAATACCTCAGTCAGGTTTTAATTATTGTCTTTTCCCAGGAAATCACTGAGAAATCCAATACATTCTCTCCATCAAGGGCTCAGTAACTTTAAAACTAAGGAGTCCTAGATTGTAAGCTCGAAAGAGCAGGGCCCTTGAACCCCTCGTGTTTTGTTTTGTTACTGTATTGTCTCATGTACTGTCCCCCACTATAATGTACAGCGCTGAGCAAACCTTTTAGCACTATATAAATACTATATAATAATATTTGCTGAATGAATGAATGTCACAAGTATTCACCCAATCACTGCAAATTTCCCCCATATTCTGTCCAATGGTTTTATTTTCTATGATTGTCAGCTTCATCTAGTGGCCATAATGTGGTATTTTCCTGAAATACCTCAGTTAGGAAAAACATGCAATAGGGCCACTAGAGGGAGCTGACAATCACTGGAAATAAACCTTTTAGACAATATGCAGGGAAAATTTGTTGCATTTATCTAGCAAATTTTTTAAAATTGACCTTTTAGTGTCCATCTCAGAGGTTCTAATCCTTCCTCACCCTATCCAGAACTAAAAGGAAGTAACTGTATGGAGTTGACTAATAGGCAATATTTCTGCTCGTTTAATGGTGGTTAGCTCTTTGTTTTATGGCAATTTTTTTTTTTTTTTTGTTCTCTCTACACACTACGTGATAAAACTGATATGTACTGTTTTTATTTTAGATTTCGCTGGGAATAGCTGTGTTGAACAATTCCACAATGGACCACAATCATCACGCAATGACCACGTCTGATCCTCATGCAGGTCACCATCCTGCAACCACAGCTGGACATGACCATAATGCAGGGACTGGCATGCATATGATGGTGGGTAACGGCTCTCAAGTTTTTATTGATCGGAACTAAAATGAAGTCTTGTGAAATGTGTGTAGTAAACACGGCCTACCTACTCCACCTTTTCCCCTGTGCCTTGCACCTCTCTCCACTGTCACTTTATACACCGTTGGTCCTCCTCCATCCTTCACCGGTCTTCTGTGCTGCATCTTCCTGATGGCCTGTTTGCTGCTCTCCCACTTCTTGCCTATGTTCTCTGGCCTTGTAACACTGGGCATCAGCTACAGTTGGCCTGATTGACTCTCTCCCACATCTGCTATCCTTGTAATTTATTGCTTGGCTAACACTGTTCTCTTCCCTAAACTGCATTATCCCACTATGCTCCCCTCCTAACCTAGTACCTGTCTGATTCCCATTCCTCACTTACATTCTCGCTTTCTTCCTTTGTTCTTTGCATCTCTGTTGTTGTCTGTCAGCTGTCTGTTCCCCTTTTATTGTTTGTTCCCCTTTTATTGTTTGATCCCCTGTTCCTCAGCCTTACATTCAGTGTACTGATAGTTTCCCTGCCTAATCACTTCACTCTCACTTTCAATCAACGATCTTCTCCCATTGGCTACCCTGTCATCTATACCAAGGTTTCTCAACCAGGGTTCCATGAAATCTTGTGGTTCCTTCAGAAATTGCTAGGGTTTCCTTGAGCAATAAGCAAGTTTGCTGCTCCGGTAAGTTCCCACTGACACCATTGATCTTTTTAGCTATCTGTAAGGGGGTAATTCTTCCCAAAGGCAAGTGTAAGGAGTATTCTTCCCACTGACCATCACACTAATGTACTTTGAGTTCCCTAAAGCCAAAAAGTTATTTTAGGGGGTTCCTCCATGTTAAAAAGGTTGAGAAAGGCTGATCTATACCATCTGTATCTTTTGATCCTGCTCCCTTACCAGTCTGATCTTCCAATTCCTGCCTTGCAACCCCACTCTCTCCCGTCTCGTTTTGACAATCCTGCTTTGATTCTGCCCCATGTCCTCTGGTTGCAGTCACTTATTATGCCTTGCTATGTCCTTCTACAAACCCCCAGTGTATCTACTTCCCACCCCTTTACCAATTCCCTTGCAACTTGCTCTCTGCATTCTCTAAGATGTCTTCCCATGTTCTCTGCCCACCACCACCATTACAACAACCATCACCACCTCCACTAGTCGAGTTGAAGTTACACTTACACTCTTAAATAAGATTGGCACCAGCCAATCAAAGGTGATGAACGTATGTTAAAAAGACCCTGTCATTGCCCTAAACAAATGCAAGTAAAATCAAAGAATAATCAAGTATTTTAAATGCTGCTTTGTAGTGTTTATCCTTTCCATTCAATTTTATTCACTTAAAATGTGCCTCTGAACCTTCTAGAAAAATTGACTACTGTCTAAATACTCTGTGTTGGCCCAGCACATCAACCATCCCACACCCCCCACCCCGCCATCTCCATATATAACCGTTCATGCAGCAGCTAGTGGATGAATGAAGGGAAAATTATAGAGTTTCACTAGAGTGACAGCTCTGAGTCCACTGGTGTTACTGTAATCACATCCAAGATGGTGCCAGCTTGCAGCAGTCTTGGGGCTTTTGGTTATCTACATAAGAGAGGGCTTTCAAGGGGGAAAAAAAAAACCTAAAATACATTAAATGCACGTATAAATGTCACCAGAGATAGTGTTCTCATTGGATTATTTCCCCATTATTCCTCTCAAAATGTTCTCAAATGTACTTTTTTTTTTTTAAATTCTTTATTTAAAGGATTTTTGTACAAACAGGAATGAAGCTACAATGTTATTGTTATATAGAATTTCCCTCACTTTCATTCCCAGTGAAAATGGTCACCAGGACAAAGAGGGCAAGGATAGGAACACAGCAGTTTACAACAAATATGGGTTCTGACCCTTCCTCAGTCAATTCAGAATGAAAACCTTTTGGAGATATAGTTTAATACATGTGGTTTTTAATGTATTAATCAGCAGTGTCCTAAGATGTACTGTATGATATACAGATGGAAACTTGTAGATATACTATAATGAATGTAATTTTTTTTTCTTTCTCAGCATATGACCTTTTACTTTGGATATGAAAACGTAGAACTTCTGTTCTCCGGATTGGTGATTAATTCAGCAGGAGGTAAATACCACATCAACTATAGGTTGGCCCCCGGGACTAGTATTTTGACAATAGCAAAGTAAAGGGAGATCATTCTGCTTGAATTGAGCCACAATTCTCTGTCTGTTGCTTAGTGAAGGCCTGCTGGAACAGGGTCATTAAGACGTAAAGTAGAAGGAACAAATGCAGGTGCACAAAAGGGCTATACGAGTAGTCCTAAAATCAGTATGAACAGTGTCAATAAGTCCATATAGAGTCCATAAATGTCCATGTGGTCCTAAATAGCACAAGCGGCAGCCATCCCAGAGCAAGCCAAACTCTGTATAACATGGAAGGAAGAAAGCGCCTTCTAAGTGCAGTATAAAGACCTTTAGAGGGAGAAGTTAGTTCCGAGCGTGTAGCCTGTCTTGTTGGTGCACCAGTCCTTTTCTTTCCTGTAACATCACATCCGCCCATGTGTGCGCCTCCTGCAGGACGTTGATGAGTGGCTATGCACCTCGGTTCCCCTCCTCTGTGTTGTAATGAGTGATTCATTTCCACAAATACTGTTGGTGTTTTTAACTGTGGTCTGATAAATTTCTACACTTATACTGCACTTTGAAGGCGCTTCCTCTTCTTCCTTCTAAGACTTAAAGTAGAGCTATAGCCTGCCATTAAAAAGAATGTGCTGCAACATTTAATTCTAAGTGCAGTAGTACTTATAGTTTTAGTCCCCCTGTAAAGTCTCCCACACTCCTGTTGATCCTGAAAGTGATGTCCACCTAATGCAGCTTCCTGTGATGGGGTGGCAACGATGCTGCAGTGATCCTGAATTCACTGCAGAGTTGCCTCTCTCATATAGGCTGTGCTTGCTCGCACCACAGTGAGATTAAAAAAATGTTGTAGGGAGCATGGTTAGCATTGCCACTGCTAATTCACAAGGCTGTAACCTATCAATCATCACCCAGCCACACTATTTCTATGGAGAAAGCATAGTTTGAGGTCAATGTGCCTCTAACAGTCATACATATGTGGGAGAATTTAAAAGTTTAGGAACTTCTCTCCAGTGACTCCCAGGGATTTTAAAGTGGGGCATGCCTAACAAATGTTTATTTTTATATGATGGTGGAGTTTTTTTCTGCTGGTAATTTGTACATATGTTAACTACGGTTCTGTTAAGTTGATATTGACCAGGGGCGGACTGACCATTTGGAAACTCTGGCACTGCCCGAGGGCCCGGGGTCAGTAGGGGGCCCCATGAGATGCCCCTGGTACCCTTTTTATAGGCTTTTTTGAGTTTGGGCAGGGACACAGGGGCCCCATGATCCCCTTTTGCCCGGGGGCCCCATGAGTTGTCAGTCCGCCCCTGATATTGACTTAAATCTTTTTAAGTGAATACCAAAAGTGACAGCAAAAATCTAATGACTTCGTAACCCCATGCATGCAGGTCTTGTGTGAAACCTGCAAATTCATCTATGGTGAAATATGACCAGGTCTCTCTGCATTGCATTTTCATTGTTCGCATATTTGATTCATTATTGCAGATTTTACCTTGAATGATTTTTATGATACTTTGTGTTTTTAAATGCTTGCATTGTTTGTTTTATTTGTTTTATTGTATTAAATATATCGATTTGTAGATTAGCCGTTAGAGAAAGCTCTGTCTTTGACTTACCCTATTCATCCTCCTGGCTACTAAGAAAAAAAAATTCGACTTTAGACTTACATTCTGAGGTGGGAACAGTAAAGTACAACCATTGTGTAGCACTACAAAGCAGGAAGCAGACCCTGAGTATGTAATGCGGAAATATGGCTGTTTCCATGTATGGAAACTATACTATGCAATATATTCCCTTTTTTTTTTTTCTTTTCTTCAATATATGTTTTTTGAGAGAATTTTTTGTACAAATGGAGATCAAATATGACGTATATCTCCAATACAAATAACAGAAAAACATCCTGTGAACACAACTTAGATATAACAGGAAATGTATAGGACGTTGATTTACTTGTGAATAAACAACGTATATTTAACCTGGAAATTCAGAATAAGAGGTGCTACAATGCCAGGTTGAGTTAAAAATAAAAAGTAAAAAGAGGAGGAAACCGAGAGGAAAAGGCACAGAAGGGAGAAAAAAGGAGGTGAATGGAGTCCCGGCTCCGAGCTAGATTCACCTTCAACATCATAAACCAATAAAAAATGTAAAACTTTGTTCCAAAAAGTCATAGAGCGGTAAGCATGGCAGGTTGTGAGACAAGAGCAGTAAAAGACTAAGTACTCCTGTGGCCGTTTTATATACTTTTGGACGTGACCTTTTATATTTTTACATTACTGGTAATTCCTAATTGTATAGATAAGTATATGTACAGAAAAAGGTTCTCTTGAACACGAACAAGTTATCTAACCTCTGGGCTTCTCTTTGTTTGTGTTTTCTCTCTCTCTCCTTTCTCTCTATCTCCCTTTTTTTCTTTTTCTCTTCTCTCTCTCTCTCTCTCTCTCTCTCTCTCACACTCCCCCCACCTCTCTCTCTCATCTCTCTCTCTCTCTCTCCTCATCTCTCTCTCTCTCTCTCTCTCTCTCCCCCTCCTCTGTCTCTTCTCTTTATTTCTTCCCTGTCTCTTCCTCTGTATTTCCTCTGTGTTCTTCCTATCTCTTCCTTCTTTTTTTTTTTTCCCTTTTTTTTCTCTGTCTCTCCTCTTTTTCCTTTCTTGTCACTTTCTTTCCTCTCTGTATTTTTCTCTTTATTTCTCCTCTGTCTCTTTCTCTCTCTCTCTCTCTCTCTCTCTCTCTCTCTCTCTCTCTCTCTCTCTGCATTTTGCAACTAGAAATGGCTGGAGCTTTTGTGGCAGTATTTCTGATGGCCATATTGTATGAGGGGCTTAAGATTGCTCGAGAGGCCTTGCTCAGGAGGTCACAAGTCAGTATCCGTTATAACTCCATGCCAGTGCCAGGACCCAATGGGACAACCCTGATGGAGACTCACAAAACTGTCGGGTAAGGACAACATGAAGAATCAAAATATTTGGGTTTACCTCTTGTGAAAGACAGGAAAGTGTTAGGAGATATGGGGGTTTCTGGAGGTTGACAGACTAGGGTGGCCATGCCCAGGCTTAGAGCAAGCAAACTGCAAAGCTAACAGTGGTCCTTAAGGTATGGCTGCTATAAGAGATAATAAAAGCAGTACCCTTTTGTATGGACTATAATTTTTTAAAGCTTATCCCCAGGAACAGATAAATAGATGCTGCAATGATGTTGAACTGTCTAGTGTAGATGGTTCAACAATTTTTATATTTGGCACCACAAATTGAGAACTGGCAGCTTTATCCAGATATATTTCTTCCCCAGCACAATTTTTTTTTATAATTCAATGTCGCAATGATGGTACCATGTGAAAAAAAACTCCTATTTTTCCTCTAGTGCCACTTGCCACACTAAAAATTTTTAGCTGAACCCAGAGCAGCACCATCTTAGTCCTATTAGTGTCAGCCATATAGAGACTGATGAGGGTTTTGTTTTTTGTATTTTATTTGTGCGATTATTGTCAACATAGGACCCTGTGTCAATGAAGTTTGAGAGGCTTCTGTGATCATTCAGAATTTATTGGCAGGAGCATTTGTCCTGCAGTCAACCTCCTTCTGACCTGCTGTAAGCCAGTTTTGCATTTCCATAGACTTGTATGGGAATGCAAACATGTGTGACACAAAGGCGTATATAGGCATTGCAAAGTCTAATTGGTATATAATTGACTCAGCTGCTGTATAAACTGTAGGTAGCCTTAGCTACATACAGTATGCAGTGCCGTGTTCCGGCAGTGGTCCTTGGACTTCCTGTCTGCTGCCGGAACAAAACCAAGTTGGGCTGAGCACTGCACAGAAAGCTTTGTATTTTATCAATGAATACAAGGCTTCCTGTGATTGGGTGAAGTGGACATTGTGACACCTGCCCACCTCAGTCATTGGAGGTTTTTGTATTTTTTTTTTTTTTTTTTTAATCGGTTGACCTAGATAGCTGTGTACTATATGTAATAAATAGGTAAACGAAATAAAGGTTTTCTTTTAAAATATTGCCTTGGAGTTTTAAATTCCATTTTTTCTTGTTCTTCGCAGACAGCAGATGCTAAGCATGCCTCACTTCTTCCAGACTTTCCTCCACATCATCCAGGTGGTGGTCAGCTACTTCCTCATGTTAATATTCATGACTTACAATGCCTACCTGTGCATCGCAGTGGCAGCCGGAGCTGGAACTGGCTACTTCCTTTTCAGCTGGAAGAAGGCTGTGGTGGTCGACATAACTGAGCATTGCCATTAATGACTCCTCCCAGGGTCATGGGACATCTAGTGGCGCTAGTTAATCTCTTATTACTCCTCTTCTTATGGGGATAGATATTTTTGTAACAAATTCCCATATTGCCTTTTTTCCTGCCTTTTTAGGTAACATAGTTTGATATCTGCAAAATCAAGAATGTCAACCAGCTCATTGGTTCATTCCTAATCTAGTCACCCACCCAATTCTTAATCATCTACAGGACTTTTTAGGGTGGACCTTTGGCATTATCTCCTAGAACATCAGCTGCCAGACAAGAACTGCATCCGGTTTACAGTCCCCTCTGTTTGGAATCTGTTAGGACAATATATATAATCAAATGAATCTAAAAACGTGGCATCAAAATTGGTAATGTCAATAGTTATCATGAAATTTGTCACTTAAAGGTTCAGACCACCAAGAATAATGTTTGATTTTTTAGGTATATGTTGACAATTCTATTAACTGGCTTCCTTTATCACTCATGGGCTCCGTCACAAGGATCTCTGCTCTGTGTTTTAAGGTTAGGCTCCTTATAGCTCAGGAGCTCTGCTGTGTTCCCAGGACCATCCACCTATTATAGCCAGTATGAAGGGCAGGAGAGAAGGAAATTCCAGCAGAGAGATCTAACTGCTGTTGTGTCTGACAGATATTAAAAAAGGCAGTAATTCACACATATCCACCTGTAACCCGAAAGATTAGCTTTGGCTAGATTGATTGTTCAAAAGATCCGTGGCACCTTGTAACCTGTTTAATCATAAAAGGTGCAGTCTTTTTCAGCTACTTAAAGTGGACATTTCAACTTACACATTTGCAGATTTACCCAAGGTCCCCCGCCCTTACACATTTCCAAAAATGTTTTTAAAACATTTTAATTCAGTTTTCATTGCTACATCTTCACCTAGGAGAGAAAGTTGTGGGCCCCGGATGTAGACATCCTGGGAGGCAGTTTGTGAGACCTTGCCATATACAGACACTTTGCATGTGCGGGAGGGTCCAGTGCATGCACAGACACACTATGGGGTTTCTTCCAGGTCCCATACACCTGGTTAAAACTTAGTGTGTGTGTGTGTATGCTCCTGTTCACCATTAAAGATAGCAGCGTGGAAGAGTGTCAGAGGGAATTTTGGCTTCATGTAAGACAACACAGGACTCCATAGTCTAGTAATTTATTTTTTTTTGGGGGGAGACCGTGACAACTGTTCATTTAGGTGTCATTACACTTATTGTAGTTTCCCCTGCCCTATCCATTAGGGAAATACATTTTAAAAATGGAATTTACTAAAAAAAAAAACACGCTTATCAGTTGATTTGATCATAATTAGAAAAAAAAAATCATGATCATATAGTTTAATGTGTAATAAATGAAATGTACAGTTTTTTTTTTCTACACAGTTGCAGATATGACAATTGCAGCAGGCTTGTCTCTGGAAACAGATGAAGGTGGTTTCTTAAGAGCAAAGGTGAAAACTGACAGGAGACAGTTAGACATTTACCAAAATTACAAGAAGATGGGATCTGGCAGCCATTAAAGAGAACCTGTACTGTTTCCATAAACTGTTTAGCTTTAGGCAAAAGAAAACTGCAACAGAAGAGACAATCTGTGTAATTGTTTCGCTTTTAGCAACAACTGAAGCGAACGGTTTTCAAATGAGGTGTATTTGTGGACCGCTGTAGGATTTGAAGTATGCCGACCCAAAAAGTGCTTCAGTGCCTCAGAGTCTCAGTCAAGATTACTTTACTTTTCACCTGACCAGAGAAATAGATGCAGTATTCCAATAATCATCTAAATGACAAATTGATATAGATTGCATTCATCTCCATTTTGTTCACTTTTTTTTATTTAAAATCTCATTTTGTTTTATGTATTTTTAGTTAAATAATGTGACGCTTTTATGAACTGTACGATTTATTTTCCAATAGTTAAAAATATGAAGGAAGAAAATAGTAAATCCTTTTAATAAAATATTGACTGGGCATTGTTTTGTGTTTCTTACTGGTTAGTCCTGTGGGGACATCCTGTGGTAGGTGCTGCTATAGCATTTATACAGACAGTCATGCAATATAAAATGCACTGATTAATAGTCACTGCTCAGGTTTGAGGGTATGTTTACATGTTTGTATTTTAGGGCTTGCTTCATTACTAAAACTGCATATTACTTCTATGTATTAAGGTAAAACTTTGTTTTTTTAGTTTTGCATGAAGTGGATAGGGATTAGAACACCTGTCGGGTTTTTATTGTGGTCTTTGTCCACATTATGGAGAGTCACCCTCTATTTGTCCTGTTTTCTCTTATCATTGAAAGTAAAAAAAAAAAAAAAAAACCCTCATTTTGGGTTGTCACTGGAATAGAAATAAATGGGATGTCTTCCAACAGGGACACTTGTTCTGGTGACAACAAGGGATTCCCTAACTTTAGGAGGATTTCCTTTCACTTCCTGTTTTGGCTGACAGGAAGTGAAATGTCCCCAATGGGTCACAGAGGGCAAAAAAAAAACTTTTGTGCAGCGGCTCCTCCAGCCCCCTTAATACTTACCGGAGCCTCATTGAGATCCAGCAATGTGAATGACAGGCCTCGACTGTCCTGGGTCTCTGACTCCTCATTGGCGGAAACAGCAAGCGGGAGCAGTCAGCTCCCGCTGCTGTCAATCACAGGCAGTCAGCCAATGAGGGTGGGGGGGGGGAGGGGCAAGCTGCGGCTCCTTGTATGAATGGACACACGGAGCAGCGGGTGCCCCCATAGGAAACTGCTTTCTGTAGGGGCACCCAAAAGAAAGGAGGAGCCAGGAGAGCCTGCGAGGGACCCAAGAAGAGGATCCAGGCTGCTCTGTGCAAAACCACTGCACACAGGAGGTAAGTATAGACATGTCTGTTATTTTACAAAAAAAGAACCTTTAGAATTGCTTGAAGTCATTTTTTTATTGGTTAGGAAAGATTGGGAAGTGAAATCTCTGTAAGAAAATGTTATAGTTGTCACCATAATTGAAGAATCTTTCAATGGTGACAACCTTTTCCACTGACAACTGTCTAAGGCAGAGTCTCCTAAATAGCATTCCTCCAGAGACTGCTGGGGGTTCCTTGCGCAATGAAGAGTTTCTAACTCCCAGTAACCACTGATATCAATTATCTTTCCAGTTGTGGTGGGCAGTTTTCCCACTGGTCAACAATATAAGTGTCCTCTCCAATGGCCACCAATGTGTTTTTTTTTTTTTTTTTTTTTTTGCTGCTCAAAAAAATAAAATTACTTTTTTCCCCTCATCCGCACATTGGAGGTGGATGGGGGAGTCCCTTCTTCTAAGCCAATGTATTCTGACAGCAGGGAGACTTCCCCACAGTCACAATACACTCCTCAGCTCCTCCACCAGCGCTGATAGTGAGCACATTTTCTAACAGGCTGGTTGTACACAAGTCAATAAACAGATTGACTTATGTACAACCAGCCTGCCAATATATAGATCCAAATTCAGCTGGTCCCTGCTGAACTGGCCCTTTAGGGCTGGCTTTAGGGACCACTACACTAAGTAGCAATATAAGAAGGCACATTTCCACTGACCACCATTGCAAAGGGTACTACAATTTTTCACCACTGGTGTTTCTCTTCTGGTTCATAATGAAACTATTTTTCTTACAGAGCAAGAAATCAAAACTATCTACCATGGGTGTTAAATATGCTGGATACAGTACATTTTTAGCCTAGGTGCAGTGCAGTTGCAGTGTGAATTGATGCAATTTGGGGTGTGAGGAAAGAATGCTTGAATTTGTATGACTATAGGACAGATAAGAGATCAGAAAGCTTCCCATTGACGTCTATGGACCTCAGAGTCAGACTGCAATGCACCAAACTTGCACAGACCCCTTTGCAAAATCGGATCATGGCCGCATTGCATGTATGTTAACAGGCTCCAAAAAAACTCATGTTATTTCACTTGTCATGCAGTTTAATGCGATCTGAACTGCATTAGAAAACACATCACAGTACATTACAAAGTACTGTATCATAAAAGTAGAAAACTACAACTTCATAGACAGATATAGATGTATTACTTCACCTGTGAAGCAATATATCTATATCTGTCTATGAAGTTGTAATTTTTCTACTTCTATGATACAGTACTTTGTAATGTTAACATGAGTATTATATGTGTTGGATTTTTGATATGAAATAAATGGTGTCCAGTGTGTTTTTAGGGGGCTTTTTTTTCCCTCCCACTTATACAGTGAAGGAAATAAGTATTTGATCCCCTGCTGATTTTGAATGTTTTCCCACTGACAAAAAAATGATCAGTCTAAAAATCGAATGGTAGGTGTATTGTAACACTGACAGAATAGCAAAAAAAATTCAAAAGAAATGAAAAGAATTCAAAAGAAATGCATGTCTAATATATGATGCACTGATCTGCATGTTCATGAGGGAAATAGGTTTTGATCCCCTATCATTCAGCAGGATTTCTGGCTACCAGGTGTCTTTCATACAGGTAACAAGCTGAGATTAGAAGCAGTCTCTTAAAGGGAGTGCTGCTAATGTCATTTTGTTACCTGTATAAAAGACACCTGTCCACAGGAGAAATCAAACAATCAGATTCCAAACTCTCCACCATGGCAAAGAACAAAGAACTGTCCAAGGATGTCAGGGACAAGATTGTAGACCTACACAAGGATGGACTGGGCTACAAAACTATCGCCAAGCCACTTGGTGAGAAGGTGACAACAGTTGGTGCAATCATTCACAAAGAAGAAACACAAAACAACTGTCAGTCTCCCTAGGTCTGGTGCACCATGCAAGATATTACCTCGTGGAGTGTCAATGATCATGGGAACAGTGAGGAATCATCCCAGAACTACACGTGAGGATCTTGTCAATGATCTCCAGGCATCTGGGACCACAGTCACCAAGAAAACAATTGGTAACACACTACGCCGACAAGGATTGAAATCCTGTAGTGCCTGCAAGGTCCCTCTGCTCAAGAAAGCACATGTCCAGGACCCGTCTGAAGTTTGCCGCTGAACATCTGAATGATGCAGAGGAGGACTGGTTGAAAGTGTTGTGGTCAGTTGAGACCAAAATCGAGCTCTTTGGCATCAACTCAACTCGCTGTGTTTGGAGGAGGGAGGAATGCTGCCTATGACCCCAAGAACACCATCCCAACTGTCAAACATGGTGGTGGAAACATTCTGCTTTGGGGGTGTTTTTCTGCTAAGGGGACAGGACAACTGCACCGCATCAAAGGGACGATGGATGGGGCAATGTACCGTCAAATCTTGGGTGAGAACCTTCTTCCCTCAGACAGGGCATTGAAAATGGGTTGTGGATGGGTGTTCCAGCATGACAATGACCCAAAACACACGGCCAAGGCAACAAAGGAATAGCTCAAGAAGAAGCACATTAAGGTCCTGGAGTGGCCTAGCCAGTCTCCAGACCTTAATCTGATTGAAAATCTGTGGAGGGAGCTGAAAGTTCGAGTTGCCAAATGTCAGCCACCAAACCTTAATGACTTGGAGAGGATCTGCCAAGAGGAGTGGGCCAAAATCCCTCCTGAGATGTATGCAAACTGGGTGGCCAACTACAGGAAACGTCTGACCTCAGTATTTGGTGGCAAATCCCTTGTTAACAATCACAAAGTCATGTTTTATGAAAGGGAACAAATACTTGTTTCCCTCATGAACATGCAAATCAGTGCATACTTTGTTACACACGCATTTCTTTTGAATTTCTTTGTGAATGGGCAAACATTCAAAATAACCCGGGGATCAAATACTTATTTCCTTCACTGTAAGTCTGTATTAAAATGGTTGCTTCCCCCACCTGCACAGAGCAGTGGGGGAGTATAGGAAAGAAGAATATGTGCTGCTGGGGAGGGGGAATTAATGCAAGCTCGTTATTTGCCCTGCATATGTAAAAAAACACAGGTTTACTTTATAGCTAATGAATCTTTATATAATGACATCCATCTGCATTATGGAAGAACTGCAGTATACAGGACAGACAAGGCAGACCAGCCATCTACACCTGGGTCCCTGTTGCAAGAAAAAAAAACGTGTATACACACAAGAGGATGTGCAAGCCTAGATTTCTCATTCTATTGGATGGATATATTTCAGGTAATCTTGTTCTCAGTTTCTATACGTTCCTACAATAGTACTCCAATTGACAAGAGAATAACACTTTGTGAAGATACCTTGACATTGGTGTGTGACTTTTACTGACGGTACTGTATATGTCACAGTATTGCTACTCTTATTGAAAATGGAAAGATGACACTTCATAGAGTAGTCTGATGATGTGTGACTTTAGTATGCATCCATGTCCATTATACTGGTGTATGACTTTCATACACACATACTTCCCAATATTACTAATCCCATTGACAAGAGAAGGAAAACATATTTTGCAGAGGAGCCTGATGCTGGTATATGGCTTTCATACACATACATGTCCCAGTGCACAGTTGTATGCAAAAAAAAAAAAAAACCTCTGCCTTTAAGAGAGTTAGAAATAGATGTAATTAGATATTCTTTGTTGTCCATCAGTGCTGGGAAACTTTGTCTAAATGAGGCTCCCACTCTTTTGCTGGTTAAAAAAAATTAAATGAGGACCTGACACTATCTCTTTAGAATGCCTACTTATGAAGGGGTAGAATCACAGGTCATCCCGTAGCTACAGTAAATGTATTTATTTTTTCAAAAGCAAAACTTTTTTTTTGGATAGAGTGGAGATGGACTAGAACACCTGTCAGTTTTTATTGCTGTCTGTGCCCCCATTAAGTAGATTCACCCTCTCTCTATTTGTCCTGTTTACCAATAATATATGAAAGTGGAAGTAAAGAAAATGCCAAATTTTGGGTTGCCGCCAGAAAAGTTTGAAATGGGGGACACTAGTTCTGGTGACCTGGGGGTCCCCAAGGAATTCCCTTAATCCAAAGGGATTTCCTCTCACTTCCTGTTTGTCTGTGGGACAGGAAGTGAAGGGAAATCACAATGGAACACAGATGTCGAAAAAAAAAAAAAATCTGACATGGGTTATGACTCTCCCTTGGTCTATCCAAAATGAAAAAAAAAAAAAGCTTTGCTATAGTTTTACTTTTATGTTTCTGTTCCAATTAAAGTGGGACATCATTCAAACTTAAGTGGAAAAATGTATTTCTTTTTGGTACCGGGAAAGGATTAAAATGCCCCTTTGAGAAACTATCCCTTCAGTTTCATCCATGAGAGGCAGGGAAAATACCACAATTTTACTACTTTTGCAACTTTACTCGTTTTTATGCACTTACTGCCCTGGATATAATTTTTAATATAATAAAATTACTCTTTAAAATACTACACTATTCTGGCACCTGTTTTTGGGGCTCCTTTGTGGAGCTATTACACCTACAGGACAGAATCTCATACCATCCAGTATCCAGAGGGGGGAGCCCTGTAAGCAGATTGAGCACCCATCCACCCTTAAAGGGGACCTCTGGACCTAGGAATATCCCATGCTTAATCCAGGCTGAGTGACCAGACCTCAGAAGGATGCCCACCGCCTGCTGATTACAGATTACCATCCAGGATTAATATTCCTACATGCGCATTATCCATGCGCTTCTGGTGAGTGCGCACTTCTGTTATTCTCGTCACAGTTCCGCTGGGATAATTACTTCATAGGATCTTTAACCATCATATACTGTTGGACTCTATTGGATAACTTTCTTCACAATAATTTTCCACTTCATCAATGTATTAAGTGCTGCACTTTATTTGTTCTTTGTTACTACAGAGGTTATTTTGGTTACCTTAAGTGTTTCAGCTGCTGCCTACTTAAGAGCGCTCACTATATTTCACAATTTTTGTTCTTATTGGATGAATACCCTTAAGCTAGGTTCACATGTATGTGGGTCCCCATGTAAATTGCATGCTTTCCCATACCCGCAGCAAAAGCACGCTGCTATTACCAGATGTACCAGGGTGTCATTAGTTCCTAATGCCACCCTCATGCTGGGAAAATCATAGCACTATGCAGTTTTCATGCGGCTGAGATTTTAGAAAAGGTGCAGGGACAGTTTCCTGCCTTTCCAGCAGCCTATTCAAATGATTGGGTTGCTGTGTCTGCACAATCATGGCCACAGGGAAACTGCAGTATAGTGTGAACCTAGCCTTAGTGTCCTATCTCAGTGAAAGCTATGTAACAAAAATATTATTGCTGCAACTGCAATTTTACAATAGGAGATAAAAATAACTTTCCATTTTAATCCACAGACAATATAATTTTCTAAAGCTACCAAATATTTATTTGGTTCTCTACAGTGCAACACTAACAAGTTTATTTATAAATGTTTTCACAGAAAACTCAAAACTTTCACCCACAATTTATACATTTTCACAATATGAATCTAAATGGGAGAACGTGAATCTTGGGTGGAAGTTGCGTGTAAATGAAAAAAAAAAAAAAAAAAAGACTTCTAAGAGTACAGGCTGCATGCTTTTCCAAATCCCAACTCTTGAGATTGATCAGCTGATCATAACACATGCACTTTCCTCTAGTCTGATGATGGTAGGGGAATTGCTTGCCTATGCCAGGGACCTGACAGACAGGCCAACAGCAAAATAAAAGAGCGCACATGGCAGACTGACATTGCTGCTGGTGACTGAAAGGCAATGGCGTAGCATTATCAGTCTTCAAAAGGAAGTGCTGTTGCTGGCAGGATCTCAGGTAAGAAATTTTGCAAAAGATTAAAAAAAACATGATTGTAACGGTACATAATAGGGCATAATGTCAAACATACTGAAAAACGGGTTTACATACACTTTTTCAAAAATTGCTAGTTGCCTGGCCATCTGTGAAATATACTAGTTGCTGTAAAAATCTAAACTGAACTGGGCTGCTATTTAGTGTGTTTTCTGCTAATAGGAATGGTCATTGCACCGATGTAACTACTGTCTAAAGCCCTCACTCAGGCAGCAATGATAGATACGCTTGTTTTAGCTCTCTCACTAACATTTACATGTAAGACTTTCAATGACTCTGAAACAGGGACTTTGGTTCAGAATATAAATCCACTTTAACAAATCACTTGTTCCCTGGACTAAAACCTTTCCAAAAGATACTATAATATACTAGAAAGGCTACTCTTACTGGGTTGTTTGTTTTTTTTTTTTTTTTTTTTGGCAAAAACAAATGTCACCAAGTACTGGAAAAAATATGGCACTTTTATTAATAAAAAAAAAAGCAAAATTGAACCCGCACATAAATTAATTTGTTTGCACACTAGCTCAGTTCCTTAAGTTCGTAACAAAAAAACAAGACAAAGTTTCCTTTGCTCTAAAACTCAAAGTTTCCAAACTGGACGGTGTGGCTGTTGGGCTTTGGCTGTGGCTTGTATCCAATACGGTCATGTATAGTCTGCTCTCTTGTTTTAGAGTCACCACTGAGAGACACAGCAGCATCTTCCTCACTGGCGGACAGATCTACCTCTTCTCGCTGTTTTTTACGACTCTACAAAAAAAAAAATTATATGTAAATGAAAGATGATAGAAGGAATAACTGAACATTGAGTTTCATGCAGAAATGTGTTTCATTCAACCACCAGGGCGACCCCCACATTCATTATCTAATGAAGCACTAATGTAAGCATGCATGTGCTTACATTAGTGGCCGATCCTTGTGAAAGCTGGAAACCACTAAATTAGTCACCTCTACTAAAATCATTGCTGCTAGTGTCTGCATCCTGTGCCAAGACACTGCCCTGCTGCTTCCTGAACACAGAAGGTTGCTCTCTCGGCATAGCTCCATTCAAAGAAGACTTAAAACTGGAGAGTGCAAAATCTGGTGCAGCTCTGCATAGAAAGTTCCAATTTTTTTTTCTTGGTAAAAGCTTAATTGAACAAGCTAAAGTAGTTAGAAGCAGACTGGATGAGCGAGTTTGAGGTGGAGGAACTTGACTGGTCTGCACAGAGTCCTGACTTCAACCCAATAGAACACCTTTGGGATGAATTAGAGCAGAGACTGCATGCCAGGCCTTCTCGTCCGGCATCAGGGCCTGACCTCACAAATGTACTTCTGGAAGAACGGTCAAACATTCCCATAGACACACCTAAACTTAATGGACAGCCTTCCCAGAAGAGTTGAAGCTGTTATAGCTGTACAGGGTGGGCCAACTCACTATTGAACCCTACGGACTAAGACTGGGATGCCATTAAAGTTCATGTGCGTGTAAAGGCAGGCATCCCAACACTTTTGGCAATATAGTGTGTATATATATATATAACACACAGCGGGTAAAATAAGTATTGAACACGTCACCATTTGTCTTGGTAAAAATATTTCTGAAGGTGCTATTGACATGAAATTTTCACAACAAGCTGGTAACAACCCATGCAATCCATACTTACAAAGAAACCAAAACAAATAAGTTCACAAATTTATGTGTAATAAAATGGAATGACAGATGGAAAAGTATTGAACACATGAAGAAAAGGACGTGAAAAAGGCATGGAAAGCCAAGACCCCAGCTGAAATCTATCAGTAATTAGAAAGCAATCCTGCCCCTTGTCAGTGCAAATTAATATCAGCTGGTTCAGTCTCAACTGATGGCCTATAAAAAGGTGTCTCATTACCAAGGTGTCACACAAGTCGATTTTCATGATGGGTAAAAGCAAAGAGCTCTCTCAAAACTTTTGCAAATGTATTGTTGCAAAACATACTGGTGGCATTGGTTACAGAAGGATTTCTAAACTTCTGAATGTTCCAGTGAGCACTGTTGGGGCCATAATCCAGAAGTGGAAAGAACATTATTTTACTATAAACTGGCCATGACCAGGTGTTCCTCGCAAGAGTTCTGACAGAGGAGTGAAAAGAATTATCAGAAGAGTTGTCTGAGAGCCAAGGACCACTTGTAGCGGCTTCAGAAAAACCTGGAATTACAAGGGACAATTGTTTCAAAGAAGGCAATAAGTAATGCACTCAACCGCCATGGCCTGTATGCAGGCTCACGACGCAAGACTCCATTGCTGGAGAAAAAAGCACGTTGAAGCTTGTTTAAAGTGTGCTGTACAACAAGCCTGTGAAATACTGGGAAAATATAGTCTGGTCAGATGAACTCTTTGGATGCCTTAATACACACTCAGGTTTGGAGGTCAAATGGCACTGCACATCATCCCAATACACCATACCACAGGGATGTTCAATTAATATTGCCCGATGCCTGAGACATGTAGTTTTTTTTAACCTTAAGCAGGGCTCACTTGTCAGGTAGAAGCATTTGGGCAGCAATGCTGCCACCCGATTGCTTCCACACAGCCCACTATGGTGCCAGCCTCCACTCCCTCTGCCCACTATATGTCCCAGGCTCCGCTTGCCCATCTGCAGGCCCGGGAGTGGTTCCGCAAGTGCCGGCAGGTTTAGGGAAGGGAGGAGAGCGGACACATCTGCTCCCCTCCTCTTCTTGTCCAGTCCCGGAAGTGATGTGATGTCAGTTCTGGGTCCCCACTTACAGATTCCCCAGAGTTCATAGAAGAGGCCCAAGGAACCTTCAAGATTTGAAGACTATTTGTGTGGAAGAATGGGCCAAAATCACATCTGAGCAATGCATACGACTAGTTTCTCCATACAGGAAGCGTCTTGAAGCTGTCATTACCAACAAAGGATTTTGTACGAAGTCTTAAATAAATTTCAGTTAGTGTGTTCAATACTTTTTCCCTGTGTCATTTCATTTTATTACACATAACTTAATTTCTGAACTTCTTTGTTTTGGTTTCTTTGTATGTATGGATTGCATGGGTTGTTACCGACGTGGCAAAAATTTCATGTCAATAGCACCTTTAAAAGGGGATTTTTTTTTTTCCTCATCTAAAGTGGAGGTGCTTTGTAAGATAATGAAGATAATGTGTGTGTTTGTATATACAGCGGGTAAAATAAGTATTGAACACGTCATCATTTTTCTCTGTAAATATATTTTTGGTGATCAATGTCCATTGCAGGGATGTGAAGAACCTTTCTGGCAAATTCCCTCCTTCTGTTGCTGTAAAGAAATAGCTCTTTGTTTCACCAGACTGGACACATACTCATTCTGAATGGGAAAGTCTGATTTATTATTATTTAGCTGATGCATGTTTTGTGTTGTAATGAGAGCTGCAGTATCTGCATCCCTTTACAGTAGAAGCGATTAACTCTTGTGGAGTATCTCAACAAAACTAACACTTCAATTGCAGAGGATGCCTAAATTCTGATTTGCATCGCAGTGCAGACTTCTTGCAAAATCAGTGAGCCAACCGCACAAGCAAGAAATTACATTTCTGTCATTTGACAGATGACAATGTTACTGCCAAATAAACAGGGTCACAGCAAAAAATGTAAAAATTCCATAAGGGATGTACAGGTGTAAGAGCTTAAAGAGGAGCTCCAGTCTCATTTTTTAAAATTTAAAGTCATTGGCTACAAAAACTGTAGCTGCTGACTTTTAATAAACAGATATTCACCTGCCCTAGGATCCAGCGCTGTGCTCACCCGAGCCCTTTGTTCACTGGTCTTTGGTCCCCAGCAGTGGTATCTTGAGTGTGGTCACCTGGCTGTAACAGCTTGTGGCTTCACAGCCGAGAGCCCACCACGCAGAAGTGGGAGCTGGTAACTGTCAAAACCAGGTACCCGTTCCCCCCTCTCCCCCGCAAAAAAGTGCCCTTTGTTAATGAGGAGCAAGGGAGGAGACCTTAAAGTGGAAAGTCCCCTTTTGGGTGAAGCTCTGCTTTAAGTGTCTCAAGGAAACTTGTACGGATGCTATGCCTGACCTTTCCTGACAATGTTAGTTGCCTGGCTGTGAATGCTGCAGAAAACAGAGAAAAAAAAGGGGTGCCATGCAAAAGCAAAGCCTTTTTTAACTACTTCCTGACCTACTTGTTGGGATCTGCTGTAAAGAATTAATTAAAAGTATTTATAATAAAAGACCACACCCTCATGTGGTTTACTCACCTCCAGTTCTTTTCGAATACTTTCAAATTCCTCAATATCATCAAGTTTCAGTTCCAGGCGTGTGGGTTTCCTGCGCAGCATCTTGCAATCTATATTGAACAGAAATGTCAATGTTCATGCATCATGCAACAGGAACAAAGGCTGCATAGTATCAAGTCATAAGACCAAGCCCATCAGTCACAGAATGGGGAGCCCAAACTGATATCCACCAATGAACAGAACAGTCATGTGATGAGGCAGCTTGAGAGCAGTCAACAAGACCTCAGAATAAGTGTAGAATGTGGTCTAAAACATGACAGCGAGCAGAACCACATAAAAGGGCAGCATCCAAATCAATCAGTGTTGATAATGATGGTATGAATGGTACTGCGTCTGCAGAGCTGTACAAGAAGACGACATGTTGGAGCTGCAGCCATAACAATGGGAATAAAAAACTATCACCAAACAGCTCCCAATCTAAAAGAGAAGGGATAGACACAAAAGGCAATGGACATCTTTTCTATATCAACAGTAAATAGTGTCTATCATGGGGAAATCAGGACTTTCAGGCAGAGAAAATGCAGTCTGCATAGAAAGGTCCTAAAGATGGACTTAAAGCCCAACTCTGGACAATTTTTTTTTTCCCCAATGCAGCGGGGCTGTGCCCACACTGCATGGGTTAACTGTTCGTTTTTTCTAGGGGAAAGGAGAGCAGAGATATACTTACCTGATCCTCTCAGCACAAGACCAGCCCGGCACCCCCCCGTACTCTAGTGGCCTTGAGCAGTGGACTGTTCCTGACGTCATCACGCCCAGAGCAGACTTCACAGACTAGGAATAGCCCACTAATGGACCGTGGATGAGCGCGATTTTCCGGAGAATCAAAGCATTGGGTGAGTATAAGCTTTCTATTCACCCCTAGACAAAACGAGAGGGTGACCCACACAGTGCAGGCACAAACCCACTGCACGGGAAAAGAAAATTTCGCCCAGAGATGGGCTTTAAAAGACAAGTTTACCTAGGATAGGAGCATGTTACATGTATAACATGTAACATGCTCCTATGTACCCACCTTCTGCTGCTAGCGCTCCCCTCTCTGCCAGCAGCAGGGGGTTTCCTCTCCCAGTGCCCGCTGTCACAATTTTAAAACTGCGCAGCCGTGCGAGGCTCCACCCACATGGCCGTATCATTCATTTACAATTTCTTGTGAATGAACAGACTACAAGTACTGTTAGCCATTGCGTCTGACAACTTGTCAATGAACAGAAAGGGTGCTGGTGAGCGCTTGGGTAGTTCATTGATCTTCCTGCTCTCAAGTAACTGACTGCCCATATGAGGAATAGGCAGACAGCTACCCTGGGAGTCTGCAGGAGCCTGACATTGCACCTGTGATCTGCTGATCACAGGTGCAGTGCTCTGCAGGCTTCTTAGAAAATAAATAAATAAATGCACATTTTTTTACCTGTAAAAAGAAGTGCATTTATTATTTTGTTTTACGAAAGGTGAACTTATCCTCCTAAAGTAAACTTGTCAGTACCTTTAGACTGTTAAGGGGTTGGAGGAAGTATGTCCCAAGTCTCCTCTCCCCTAGCGATCACTTGGACTGAACACTGTAAGTTTGTAGAAAATCAAGGGAATTCCTCTGAGGAAGCCAAGTTACCTTGGGGCGTAACACGTAGGGGAGGGGCACATGATGCCACGACGCTCCACACGTAAATGAGAGTAGTAATTATACTGGATTGATTGCCGGTTTGCACTACAGGAGTTTTTTTATACATTTTTTTGCTGGAAATGTGTGCTGTTAAAGGGTGGCGCAAAATCATGCATATATACGGCTGTCAATCACCGGGTGATTCCCCGCCGGCACCCGATGATCTCCATGACTTATGAAGGGGGAGAGACCTAGGTATAAACAACACAGATCTATCCCCTGTCAGCTCCTGCACACTGCTTTGTATGGCTCTGCATGGCAGTGTGCTTACAGTGAAGCACACACACAGCACACAGTGAACCCCTTCCTGCCCCGTGCCATTAGTACAGTGTCAGTGCTTTTTATTAGCACTGATCACTGTATTGGTATCACTGGGGATGTTAGGGACACCAAGTCAGTTCCCCCCAGTATCAGAATGCCCAACGCTGTCCCACTATAAGTCGCTGATCGCCGCAATTACTAGAAAAAAAAAAAAATTCCAGTATATATATACCGCCATTTGTAAACGCTATAAACTTTCATGTAAAACAAATTAATTTACATGGATTTGGATTTTTTTTTATTAGCAAAGACATGTAGCAGAATACATTTTGGCCTAAATTTGTTTAAAATTTTTTTACTGGACATGTATAATAGTAAAAAGTCAAAAATATCGTTTTTTTTCTCAAAAATGTCTTTTTTGTTTATAGCGCACAAAAAATAAAACCGCACAGGTGATCAAATACCACCGAAAGAAAGCTCTATTTGAGGGAATAAAGGACATACATTTCATTTGGGTGCAACGTTGCATGACCGCGCAACTGTCAGTTAAAGTAACGCAGCGCTGTATCGCAAAAAATGGCCTGGTAAGGAAGGGGGGTAAATCCTCTGCAGGGCAAGTGGTTCATGTGAGTGTGATTCCAGAGGATCAGGGAAATTATAAGAAAGCTTTTACACAATATAAGCACCATTTTGGCAGGTTTTGTTTTCCCTCGTGTGTGTGGCTGATCTATGCATGGGGTGAGGATACAGAATTGGATTAATTAATGGAGGAGAGGAGTAATTGGAGAGAAATTGAAGTGTTTCATCCATTTGGAGTATTACATGTGGTCCCTCAGGGCACAAGGGCTTACTGATCAGATTATAATAGTGAGATCAGATTCCAGGTGACAGCACATCCGGTGGATGGTGATCACACTGGCTTGAAGAAGCGGAGCACGTATTGGTGTTGATAGCACAAGATACCAAATACCCACGCTTTAAAGATTGGATGTTATTTCAGGACTTTCATCATTTGTAGATTTGTGTATACTTATATTTTCAAAAAAAACAGAAGGTTTATATTTAATAGGATTATATTATTTTGTATGGTGCAGTTTGATGATTGATGGGCACACAGATTGACATTTAAGTATGATGCAGTTTGATGATTGATGGGTACACATTGACATTTAAGTATGGTGCAGTTTGATGATTGATGGGCACGCATATTGACATTTAAGTATGATGCAGTTTGATGATTGATGGGCACATATTGACATTTAAGTATGGTGCAGTTTGATGATTGATGGGGCACGCATATTGACATTTAAGTATATGATGATGGGCAGCATTTGACATTTAAGTATGGTGCAGTTTGATGATTGATGGGCACGCATATTGACATTTAAGTATGATGCAGTTTGATGATTGATGGGCACGCATATTGACATTTAAGTATGGTGCAGTTTGTTTGATGATTGATGGGCACGCATATTGACATTTAAGTATGATGCAGTTTGATGATTGATGGGCACGCATATTGACATTTAAGTATGGTGCAGTTTGATGACTGATGGGCACGCATATTGACATTTAAGTATGGTGCAGTTTGATGATTGATGGGCACACATATTGACATTTAAGTATGTGCAGTTTGATGACTGATGGGCACGCATATTGACATTTAAGTATTGCATGATTGATGGGCACGCATATTGACATTTAAGTATGGTGCAGTTTGATGATTGATGGGCACGCATATTGACATTTAAGTATGATGCAGTTTGATGATTGATGGGCACGCATATTGACATTTAAGTATGGTGCAGTTTGATGATTGATGGGCACGCATATTGACATTTAAGTATGTGCAGTTTGATGATTGATGGGCACGCATATTGACATTTAAGTATGATGCAGTTTTGATTGATGACATTTGATGGTTGCACGCATATTGACATTTAAGTATGATGCAGTGATTGATGGGCACGCATATTGACATTTAAGTATGATGCAGTTTGTGATTGATGGGCACACATATTGACATTTAATTGATGCATTGATGGGCACACATATGACATTTAAGTATGGTGCAGTTTGATGATTGATGGGCACACATATTGACATTTAAGTATGGTGCAGTTTGATGATTGATGGGCACACATATTGACATTTAAGTATGGTGCAGTTTGATGATTGATGGGCACACATATTGACATTTAAGTATGGTGCAGTTTGATGATTGATGGGCACACATATTGACATTTAAGTATGGTGCAGTTTGATGATTGATGGGCACACATATTGACATTTAAGTATGGTGCAGTTTGATGATTGATGGGCACACATATTGACATTTAAGTATGGTGCAGTTTGATGATTGATGGGCACACATATTGACATTTAAGTATGGTGCAGTTTGATGATTGATGGGCACACATATTGACCAATGCGGAGTCATAGAGAGTTGGTAGATATTGAAGGAAATTACAAAGGAAAGGGGGTAGGACAAGAACAAGTACACAAAATGTCACCAAGAAAATCCCTCTGCAGGCTCCAGGGTGAGCTGAGGACACGGAATACTATTAGAACAGAACACCAGACCCAGAAAATTTCAGAGGGGGAGAGAACCTAAATTCAGCCTCAACCTTTCCCACCTCCCATCACTCCAATACAGCCCTGCAACTCGAGTCCCCAGATATCTAGGGGAAGGGTGTGCTGAGGACTCCACTACTTGTGAGGGCAGATCAAAAGGCACGCTGGGACTTCTCAATCCCCTGTATATAGAGTGAGGGCATGCTGGGACTTGTAGTACCCCTGTATATAGAGAGGGCAGGCTGGGACTTGTAGTACTCCTGTATATAGAGAGGGCAGGCTGGACTTGTAGTATCCCTTTATATACAGTGAGTGCAAGCTGAGACTTGTAGTACCCCGATATATAGAGCGAGGGCACATGAAACTTGTAGTCCCCCTGTATATATAGTGAGGGCAGGCTGGGACTTGTAGTCCCCCTGTTATAGCGTGATGGCAGGCTGGGACTTGTAGTACCTCTGTATATAGAGGGCAGGTTTGGGACTTGTAGTACCCCTGTATATATAGCAAGGGCAGGCTGGGGCTTGTTGTCCCCCTGTATACAAAGTGAGGGCAGGCTGGGGCTTGTAGTCTCCCTGTATATAGAGTGAGGGCAGGCTGGGGCTTGTAGAACCCCTGTATATAGTGAGAGCAGGCTGGGGCTTGTAGTCCCCCTGTATATGGAGTGAGGGCAGGCTGGGGTTTGTAATCCCCCTGTATACAGAGTGAGGGCAGGCGGGGACTTGTAGTCCCCCCTGTATATAAAGGGAAGGCTGAGACTTGTAGTCCCACTATATACAGAGTGAGAGCAGGCTGGGGCTTGTAGTCCCACTGTAAGCAAAGCAAGGGAAGGCTGGGGCTTGTAATCCCCCTGTATACAGAGTGAGAGCAGGCTGGGGCTTGTAATCCCCCTGTATACAGAGTGAGAGCAGGCTGGGGCTTGTAGTCCCCCTGTATATAGAGTGTGAGCAGGCTGGGGCTTGTAGTCCCCCTGTATATAGAGTGTGAGCAGGCTGGGGCTTGTAATCCCCCTGTATACAGAGTGTGAGGGCAGGCTGGGGCTTGTAATCCCCCTGTCTACAGAGTGAGAGCAGGCTGGGGCTTGTAGTCCCCCTGTCTACAGAGTGAGAGCAGGCTGGGGCTTGTAGTCCCCCTGTATACAGAGTGAGAGCAGGCTGGGGCTTGTAGTCCCCCTGTATATAGAGTGTGAGCAGGCTGGAGCTTGTAGTCCCCCTGTATACAGAGTGAGAGCAGGCTGGGGCTTGTAGTCCCCCTGTATATAGAGTGTGAGCAGGCTGGGGCTTGTAGTCCCCCTGTATACAGAGTGAGAGCAGGCTGGGGCTTGTAGTCCCCCTGTAAACAAAGTGAGGGCAGGCTGGGGCTTGTAGTCCCCCTGTATACAGAGTGAGGGCAGGCTGAGGCTTGTAGTCCCCCTGTAAACAAAGTGAGGGCAGGCTGAGGCTTGTAGTCCCCCTGTATATAGAGTGCGAGCAGGCTGGGGCTTGTAGTCCCCCTGTATATAGAGGGAAGGCTGAGGCTTGTAGTCCCCCTGTATATAGAGGGAAGGCTGAGGCTTGTAGTCCCCCTGTATACAGAGTGAGGGCAGGCTGAGGCTTGTAGTCCCCCTGTATACAGAGTGAGGGCAGGCTGAGGCTTGTAGTCCCCCTGTATACAGAGTGAGGGCAGGCTGAGGCTTGTAGTCCCCCTGTATACAGAATGAGGACAAATTGGGCTCGGTACGTATAAGGACATGCTGGGACTTGTGGTACCCCCTATTGCAGGCTCCCCCCACTCACCGTTTCACTTCCCCAGGATACGGCCTCTCCACCTTCTGCTCCCAGAGTGCACCACTCCCGGGAAATCGTCAGTTCCGGTCCGGAGGAGGAAGCAGCGTGTGTAGAGCGTCCGGGAGCCGCTGAGTGGCGGCCGAACAGAGTGAGTATCAGCCGGTGACCCCCCATCCGTCCTGTGTACAGAGTCCTGTGTGTTACCTCTGAAAGACACCCTGTCATTCGGGCTCTGCATAGACCCACCACAGTCATTACTGTATGTCAGGGGGACCGGGAGATGGGGCACTTATCTGTATATAATGTACAGTGTATGATGGGGGCCCCTGTCTGTATAATGTACAGTGTATGAGGGGCCCCTGTCTGTATAATGTACAGTGTATGGGGGGCCCCTGTCTCTATAATGTACAGTGTATGGGGGCCCCTGTCTCTATAATGTACAGTGTATGGGGGGCCCCTGTCTGTATAATGTACAGTGTATGGGGGGCCCCCGTCTGTATAATGTACAGTGTATGGGGGCCCCCCCCGTCTGTATAATGTACAGTGTATGGGGGCCCCCTGTCTGTATAATGTACAGTGTATGGGGGGGGGGCCCCCGTCTGTATAATGTACAGTGTAGAAGTAGAATGTACAGTGTATGGGGCCCCCTGTCAGTATAATGTACAGTGTATGGGGGCCCCCTGTCAGTAGAATGTACAGTGTATGGGGGCCCCCTGTCAGTAGAATGTACAGTGTATGGGGGCCCCCTGTCAGTAGAATGTACAGTGTATGGGGGCCCCCTGTCTGTAGAATGTACAGTGTATGGGGGCCCTGTCTGTATAATGTACAGTGTATGGGGGCCCCCCTGTCAGTAGAATATACAGTGTATGGGGGCCCCCTGTCTCTGTAATGTACAGTGTATGGGGGCCCCTGTCTGTACAGTGTATGGGGGCCCCCTGTCAGTAGAATGTACAGTGTATGGGGGCCCCCTTTCTGTAATGTACTGTATAATGTACAGTGAGGGGCCCCCCTGTCAGTAGAATATACAGTGTATGGGGGCCCCCTGTCTCTATAATGTACAGTGTATGGGGGCCCCTTTCTGTATAATGTAAAGTGTATGGAGCCCCCTGTCTGTATAATGTACAGTGTATGAGGGGCCCCTGTCTGTATAATGTACAGTGTCTGTATAATGTAAATGAGGGGCCCCTGTCTGTATAATGTACAGTGTATGAGGGGCCCCTGTCTGTATAATGTACAGTGTATGAGGGGCCCCTGTCTGTATAATGTACAGTGTATGAGGGGCCCCTGTCTGTATAATGTACAGTGTATGGTAGCCCCTGTCAGTAAAATGAACATATAGTGTGAGGGGGCCCCCTGTCTATGTAATGTACATTGCATGAGGGCCTCCTGTCTATGTACTGTAATGTAGATTGTATGGGGGCCCCTGTCTTTATAATGAACATATAGTATGAGGGGCCCCTGTCTGTATAATGTACAGTGTATGAGGGGCCCCTGTCTGTATAATGTACAGTGTATGAGGGGCCCCTGTCTGTATAATGTATGTTGTATGAGGGGCCCCCGTCTGTATAATGTATGTTGTATGGGGGGCCCCTGTCTGTATAATGTACAGTGTATGATGGGCGCCTTTCTGTATAATGTACGTTGTATAATGGGCCCATCTCTGTATAATGTACAGTGTATGGGGGGCCCTGTCTGTATGATTAACATATAGTGTGAGGGGCCCCCTGTGCATATAATGTACATTGTATGAGGGGCCTCCTGTCTGTATAATGTACAGTGTATGAGGAGCCCCTGTCTGTATAATGTACAGTGTATGAGGGGCCCCTGGTTTTATAATGTACAGTGTATGAGGGGCCCCTGTCTGTATAATGTACAGTGTATGAGGGGCCCCTGTCTGTATAATGTACAGTGTATGAGGGGCCCCTGTCTGTATAATGTATGTTGTATGATGGGCGCCTTTCTGTATAATGTACAGTGTATGGGGGCCCCTGTCTGTATGATAAACATATAGTGTGAGGGGCCCCCTGTGCATATAATGTACATTGTATGAGGGGCCTCCTGTCATTATAATGTACATTGCATGAGGGACCCCTATCTGTATAATGTACATATTGTGTGAGGGGCCCCTATCTGTATAATGTACATTGTATGAGGGGCCCCTGTCTGTATAATGAACATATTGTGTGAGGGGCCCCTATTTGTATAATGTACATTGTATGAGGGGCCCCTATCTGTATAATGTACATTGTATGAGGGGCCCCTGTCTGTATAATGAACATATTGTGTGAGGGGCCCCTATCTGTATAATGTACATTGTATGAGGGGCCCCTGTCTGTATAATGAACATATTGTGTGAGGGGCCCCTATCTGTATAATGTACATTGCCCCTGCCAGGACCTCAGTTGTGTGGACTAGTTGGGAATGCTCTGCCTCTCCCTGTTGCCCAATACATAACACTGCCTCCGCCAGCTTGTCTTCTCCCCATGATGCATCCTGGAGCCATCTCTTCCCAGGCAAGACGCACACACCTGGCCATCCACATGATGGAAAATAGGACGTGATTCATCAGACCAGGCCACTGTCTTCCCTGGCTGTGTGGTCCACTTATGATGCTCATATTCCCATTGTAGGCACTTTTGTCTGTGGACATCTCTGGTCATTTCCTGTCCGCAGTCTCTGATCATTTCCTGTCCGCAGTCTCTGGTCATTTCCTGTCCGCAGTCTCTGGTCATTTCCTGTCCGCAGTCTCTGGTCATTTTCTGTCCGCAGTCTCTGGTCATTTCTGTCCGCAGTCTCTGGTCATTTTCTGTCCGCAGTCTCTGGTCATTTCCTGTCCGCAGTCTCTGGTCATTTCCTGTCCGCAGTCTCTGGTCATTTCCTGTCCGCAGTCTCTGGTCATTTCCTGTCCGCAGTCTCTGGTCATTTCCTGTCCGCAGTCTCTGGTCATTTCCTGTCCGCAGTCTCTGGTCATTTCCTGTCCGCAGTCTCTGGTCATTTCCTGTCCGCAGTCTCTGGTCATTTCCTGTCCGCAGTCTCTGGTCATTTCCTGTCCGCAGTCTCTGGTCATCCTCCTTACTGTGTCCGCAGTCTCTGGTCATCTCCTGTACTGTGTCCGCAGTCTCTGGTCATCTCCTGTACTGTGTCCGCAGTCTCTGGTCATCTCCTGTACTGTGTCCGCAGTCTCTGGTCATCTCCTGTACTGTGTCCGCAGTCTCTGGTCATCTCCTGTACTGTGTCCGCAGTCTCTGGTCATCTCCTGTACTGTGTCCGCAGTCTCTGGTCATCTCCTGTACTGTGTCCGCAGTCTCTGGTCATCCCCTGTACTGTGTCCGCAGTCTCTGGTCATCCCTGTACTGTGTCCGCAGTCTCTGGTCATCCCCTGTACTGTGTCCGCAGTCTCTGGTCATCCCCTGTACTGTGTCCGCAGTCTCTGGTCATCCCCTGTACTGTGTCCGCAGTCTCTGGTCATCCCCTGTACTGTGTCCGCAGTCTCTGGTCATCCCCTGTACTGTGTCCGCAGTCTCTGGTCATCCCCTGTACTGTGTCCGCAGTCTCTGGTCATCCCCTGTACTGTGTCCGCAGTCTCTGGTCATCCCCTGTACTGTGTCCGCAGTCTCTGGTCATCCCCTGTACTGTGTCCGCAGTCTCTGGTCATCCCCTGTACTGTGTCCGCAGTCTCTGGTCATCTCCTGTACTGTGTCCGCAGTCTCTGGTCATTTCCTGTACTATGTCTGCAGTCCATTGGTGCAGAATATTTTTTTTTTTGTTTTCCTTTTATATATAAGTGAATACCTGCATGGTTGACAATCTGAAGTGCTAGCCAGGTGATCCCATCATCTCCACCCTTTGCAGGAAGATGGAGCTCCCCATTGCCCCCCACCAGACACACACACACAATGCTAGGATGGCATCTTGCTCCCAGCATCCATTGCCTGAATTATGTACCTGAACCTCAGCCATTATCTCAGCATACTGTTAATCAGTTAGGTGATTTGCACATACTTCTGCCTACTTCTCATTGGCTGGCAGGTTGTGCCTGCACCCAGCTAAAATGACCTCTGGACCACCACCAAAACATTCCCAGCACAAAAGGGACACGTAGGTGGGTAATATCTTACTACTAATTCATTATAATTTGAAAAAAAATATTAGAAAGCTAGAAAAGATGTTCAGGATTTTGTATTTTTATTAAATTAAGATGGTGCTGTTTGAGTGGCAGATATATTCTGGTGTAAAAATCCCGGCAGTTTTTTCACTCCTAGGAAGCCATATGTGGTGCATTGAGGCAGCCATCAAAGTGAATGGCTGCTCACAGCCTTACTTGGGTAAAGGCGATGCTTTCTTGCATCAGTGTTTGAATGCACATATGAAGTATTCCTTGAATGCAGAAGTTTGCGTTCAGGAACAATTCATAGATTTGCAAATAAAGATGAAGAAAATATAATTTCCCAAAGTACCTGTCTATGGCTATCTGTACACACCACCTGGCACCCCAGCTGCAGAAAAATGCCATAATTTGATCACTGCAGCATATTTACACCCCGGTCACATCGGGTGCGACTTGGAATGCGATTTGCGTGCCCTGCGACTTGCAAATCGTATGCCAAGTCGCACCCTATTGTCCACTATTAGAGCGGTCATATCGGAGCGGTTCCAACTTGGTCACAGCCACACCGATTTCTAAAGTAGTACATGCACTACTTTTGTTGCGATTTGCATAGACATCTGTGTCAGATGTCTTGCAAATCGCAACTGAAATCGGCATGTCACCTGATTTTGAAATTGGCTTTGATGTGACCGGGGGCTAACTCTTCAAACCGTCCGTGTACCTGAGCCTCCTGAAATGATAAAAACCTAATAGTATAATTGATCATAGAAATTTTGGTTTTTTGGTTTGTATGTTTTGTTCTGCTTTGATGGAGCATATACAGTACATATTGTATCTGCATGATAGAGGGCAGACACACAGCGGTAATGCTGTACATTTCCATTTTCTAGTTTAATTCGGATGTCTTGTGTCTCAAAGATTTGAAAAAGCATAAAGTACTGTAATGGCAGCGGGTGGGGTGTGGGGGCTTATAACAGAGAGCAGCATGTGCCAGAATTGTCCGTGCTGGAAACACTTATGTGCATATGGGGAAAGAACAAAGAGAGGGCGCACAGGCTTAGTGCATTACCATAAAAAATGTTTAATAAAAATAAAGTAGGTGTTGTACTCACAAACGACAATATAGTCAAGGCACATCATAAAAGAACAGCTGGGTCAACACCGCGCTGAGTAACAGTCCGCAATAGGGAGTTTAGACATCCAAAAGGCTGACGCGTTTCGAGGACTTGCCTCTTCCTCAGAGCCACTTATGTGCATATGTAAGAAAGGGGCATGTGTTATTTGTACTTGGCTTTTTCAAAAATTTGACTTTACATTTTGGGAATACCATCAGCACCCTGAGATTTCATGGATAAAATACAGTGATTGATGTACAGTATATTCAAATAATTCCTCTGTGAAAGATTGCTTTGATTGAATGGAAGTCTTACAGTGGTCATACGTGGAACAATGTGATTTTGAGATAATTTTGGAAATCTTGCTCAAAATTGGCTGGATGTGGCTTTGGATTTGATCAACCAAGCAGCAATAAATGACTTTCCATCTACTATATTATGGCTATTCCAGCTGATGTTTCTTACCATCTTGGCATTTTGTTTTTGTTAGTCAAGGTAGACAAGTTTATCATTTTGTTTTCTTTGACTCTCCAGGTGTATTTAAAATAGATAATCTTGTATACATGTGTGCTAAAATAATATTATTGTAGTTTTGTACTGATAGGGTATCTTACTTTCAGTAGTTTCATGTAAAACTATGAGAAAAAAAAGTTAGGAAATACATTGTTCATCAGATGCTAGTTGAGGGCCTTGTACAAAAACTGCTCAAAACATTTGGTGGCAGATTGAAAGCTCCTTTTCTATCATTGGGCAACATGGACTCAATCACCCAGCTGAAACAAGTTGATCACCAGAAAGAATGAATGGCCAGGAGATCAAATGTGAGGCTTAATGGGCTCCCTATTCATGTATTTAAAAAAAGCTCATTTTGAGGAAATGAATGAGAAAAGAGTGGAAACAAAGAAAGAACTGGAAGAGAAGGAAGCTAACAGTATAACAAGGACACATTCAGAAGTATGATAACATTGACGAACCCAGCTGAACCAAACATTTTTTTATTACCAAGTAAATGTTTGAATTCTTATGAGGTAAACAATTATCCGTTGATTTATATGCTGTTTTTTGCTAGGATGCCAGTGTGTATCGTTGAGGGATGTACGACCACCTCAAAAAGGAAGACTGACGAAATAATGCTTCACTCATTCCCGAAAGACAAGGAGCTAATAAAGCGATGGTTACAGCAGATGCATCAGGACTTTGGTGATTTGGAAGAATTTGCTGAAAAAGTTTTCACTAGCACAAGGGGCAATTATAGAATGTGTTCTCTTCACTTTACTCGTAGTGCTTATGAAATCAGGGGATTAACCCTTTTTTTGAGAAGAGATGCCATTCCGACTTTGTTTCCAGAACCGGTAACAATTCAACTTCCAGCAAAAGGATTATCTAGTTCTGTTTTAAATTCTGAATTACATACAGTGCACGCCAGGCCCACGGCCAACACACAACAGCCCATACGACAAATGGTGGTAGGACTTTGCCATGAACCTTCTGTGGCACCTCAAGTACCTATTAAAACAGAGGATGAAACATCATCAAGTGGTGTCGAAGCTCAGCATGAAGGAATGTCTCGCATATATATTAAGAGTGAGGATGAAACTACAAGTGGGTTTTTAACTACTGAATTACACATGGCACATACTGTGTCCCCAGATAATGCACAGCAAGAATTGGTGGCAGGTCTTGGTCAGCAAGAACCTGCTACACCATCCCAGATAAACACTTTTACCGTTCTAACTTTGGACCGCTCTAATCTAATTTGTACACCTCAACTAACCAATGTGAGATCTCAAGGATTTATCCCAGTTGTGTCACGAAAAAGACTATACCCACCAAAAATTATAAAAACTATGGGAACTATGACCGAGTACCTTCCAGGGAAAGCCCATAAATCCATACAGTTTGACAAATCAATGGGTACCAGTCATAAGAGTTCCCAGGTCAGCCTGAGACCATTTCACAGCTCTATTGGAATACAGTGTAATCTTGTCACTCTCCCAAGTCTGAAAACTTTATCACCACGTCACATCGAAACTAGTACGGAATCAGAAGACTCATCTACAGCCCTGCATATGGACCTCAGATAAACCTCTGGCAAATATACATTAATTGTTGTTACCAAGAGGCTGGCTCTCAGTTTGTTATCCTCTATCATCTATGGCCATCCGCTGTGACAGCCAAGCAAAGGGATTCCCATGTTCCAAGATGTTTTGGAGATCATTTAGGAATCATTCATGCCATAGACTGTAGACTCGTGCACTTACAATAGCCCTTAGGACAAACATCAGCACTTTTTTAATGCAACTGGGTGGCAGCAGTTACAGACAATTAGAAGGCAGCTTTTATCAAGAAAATGGTTGAAAATATAAAAATATACACCCACCAATGTCAATAAGGACCCTTTTTTATAAAGGGTTATCAGAGTTTTTTTTATTTCAATCTTTTGCCTGTTTAAAAAAACATGTCAGTGTTTCTCATTACCTTGTTACTTTTCTGTACAATTGTACATTGCACATTTTCTGTTGTATACAAAACATTTCCCCCAAAGTGTATCTATGGTCCAATTGTAATATCATATATTCATTTAAGCATTGTATTTCAGTTATTTCTAGTTTACTCCTATTAATCTGAACCATCCTGAAGTTTGAAAATTTACTTTGTGGAGATCCCCGCACATTGCTGTGTCACACATTTCACAGAGCCTGCCTTCTGAACTACAGAGGAGACATTTCAGGAGTCAGCACAGGGATCGCTGCTTGCAGGCAGCCTTTAGAAATGGAAAGTAAACAGTAGAGAAGTTGCAAGGCATGCAGGGAATCCAGGAAGTTGTAGAGATAGTCAACAGACAGGCAGCACTCACAACATGAAATTAGGTTTTTCAAGTAAGCTGATATTGGATTGTTAAATATAACTAT